TATAGACCCTATAGTTCTTATACAGGTGTCTATAGACCCTATAGTTCTTATACAGGTGTCTATAGACCCTATAGTTCTTATACAGGTGTCTATAGACCCTATAGTTCTTATACAGGTGTCTATAGACCCTATAGTTCTTATACAGCCATGTATAGACCCTATAGTTCTTATACAGCCATGTATGGACCCTATAGTTCTTATACAGCCGTCTATAGACCCCAACGTTCTTATACAGGTGTCTATAGACCCTATTGTTCTTATACAGCCATATTTTGACCCTATAGCTCCTCATACAGCTATCTATAGATTCTATAGTACCTATACACCTATGTATAGGCCCTATCATTCGTACACAGGTATCTATATACCTTATAGTTCTTGTACAGAGGTCTACACACCAACCATATATTTCTTATACAGCCATCTATAGACCCTACAGTTTTTATACAGCCATCCATAGACACTATAGTCCTTACATAACTATCTATAGACCCTTAAGTCTTTATATATACGCATAGACCCTATAATTCATATACAGCTATCTGCATACCCTATCGTTCTTGTACAGCAGTTTAAAGACCCTGTAGTTCTTATACAGCTGTCTATGGACCCTATAGATCCTCATACAGCATATATAACTCCTTACACAGTTATCTATAGACCCTATAGCTCTAACACAGCTATCCATACATTCTCTAGTTCAGATATGTCGATCTATAGACCGTATATATAGTTCTGATACAGCTAACTACAGACCTTATGGCTCCTCATACAGCTATCAATAAACTCTTCAGCTCCATCTACATCTATATCTAAACCCTACAGCTTCTTATACAGCTATCAATAAACTCTTCAGCTCCATCTACATCTATATCTAAACCCTACAGCTTCTTATACAGCTATCAATAAACTCTTCAGCTCCATCTACATCTATATCTAAACCCTACAGCTTCTTATACAGCTATCAATAAACTCTTCAGCTCCATCTACATCTATATCTAAACCCTACAGCTTCTTATACAGCTATCAATAAACTCTTCAGCTCCATCTACATCTATATCTAAACCCTACAGCTTCTTATACAGCTATCAATAAACTCTTCAGCTCCATCTACATCTATATCTAAACCCTACAGCTTCTTATACAGCTATCAATAAACTCTTCAGCTCCATCTACATCTATATCTAAACCCTACAGCTTCTTATACAGCTATCAATAAACTCTTCAGCTCCATCTACATCTATATCTAAACCCTACAGCTTCTTATACAGCTATCAATAAACTCTTCAGCTCCATCTACATCTATATCTAAACCCTACAGCTTCTTATACAGCTATCATTAACACTACTACTTATATAGACCTTATGGCTCCTCATACAGCTATAAATAAACTCTTCAGCTCCATCTGCATATAGACCCTATAGCTCCTCATACAGCTATCAATAAACTCTTCAGCTCCATCTACATCTATATATAGACCCTATAGCTCCAGCGCAAGGCTCTATGATAGCCCTGATACTTGCAGTGCATGAATTAGATCTGGTTTCTTGTTAACAAAGATTATCTGGTACTACATGTCCAATGAGCCCCCCAAAGACTGAAGAAAAACAAATCTCTCACCATCTCCCTTGTGCTGCTAAAACGAGTCAGTGGGTCAGATCTGTGCAAACTGGAGCAAAATTGGAACTGATGTCATGAACAATCAAGTAGGTTTCCTCTTTCAGAAGGAACAACAAACCTGGATGGCTGTCAATGGCACCTGCTTTTTTTTTAAATCCCACCATGCATTTGCCACAAATCATCCTTTACAGCGTTTAATCATTTTACAACATCCATAGATGACCTTACAACCCCGATCCACGCACACAATGACATTGCAATAGCTTTCTCATTTGCAATTTCCTATTATTTATATCCCCGGCAAGCCTCCAAAACACTTTAAACCTGCAAACTCAAATCACATCCTCTCTGCACCTCAATGCTGACGATCAATGACATGGACTACAGATATGATCAAGCCTTGCTTTAAAAAAATTCAGACTGTCATTCCTCCAAATCCTGCCTATCCTGCGGCTTCAACTCTTATTTACTAAAGCAGTGCAAGCAGCCAGGGGATAGGAATATGGTTGGATCCTATTGCATGCGTTCATAGACCTTTCTCCTGTAGTCCCCCCATTGATACATTCTGCTAAAGGATTTGTAAGCTGCTGTTTACATTACATTGAGCAGGATTGTGTGACCTTGATTCGGCTTGTAGGGATGAGGATGTGACAGCAGCCACAAGTCATGAGAAGAAGGTCATGCCGGGCAGCACTTACCAGGTTGGAGGCAGCACTGAACGCTGCGGTCAGGCAGGCCATCCCCTGCCCGGTCAGGCTGTCTGCGCTGTCTATGGTTTGTGGTGCTGAAACGCTCCTCGGATCCCCGTTCACTGCGCTCTGCCCGTTCCACACTGCTCCGGCACTGACAGCTCCCCGACTGCCCTCCCCTGACTCTGATTGGCTGGGAAGAAGACAGCTGGGCGGGGTCTGCAGGATGCAGGTAAACGTGCTCTTGTTTTGCTCCTTCCTAGCTGTCTCCTTCATGTGTCATTATCCTCACATTGTGCACTCACTGAGCTGTCAGGAGGGAGGAGGAAGGCTGATCTGCCAGGCTACAGGTTCCAGATCTGTGCCGGGGACTTAGCTGTGGCCCAGTAATGCAAACACAATCTACACGTTTCATCTTTTTATTTTTGTGTGGAAAATGTCACACTGACATTAGAACAAAACAATTACAGTATGTGCTTAGCTACTGGGGAAAAAACAGTCCACTTAAGGTAATAATCCAGAATGTGTGCGGCGGGAAGGAGCAATCATTTGTTTCCAAAATAGATTTTCTGGATAAGTGGAGGCAAGCAATTTTGTCTGGTTTGCTCTTTTATTGATATGCATGTGTGTGTTCCCTCACACTACTAATGTTCCCTGTTACCCTAACACTAACCTTCCCTGTCACCCTCACACATGTTCCCTGTTACCCTAACACTAACCTTCCCTGTCACCCTCACACATGTTCCCTGTTACCCTAACACTGACCCTCCCTGTCACCCTCACATATATGTTCCCTGTTACCCTAACACTGACCCTCCTTGTCACCCTCACACAAGTTCCCTGTTACCCTAACACTGACCCTCCTTGTCACCCTCACACAAGTTCCCTGTTACCCTAACACTGACCCTCCCTGTCACCCTCACACATGTTCCCTGTTACCCTAACACTGACCCTCCCTGTCACCCTCACATATATGTTCCCTGTTACCCTAACACTGACCTTCCCTGTCACTCTCACACAAGTTCCCTGTTACCCTAACACTAACCCTCCCTGTCACCCTCACACATGTTCGCTGTTACCCTAACACTAACCCTCCCTGTCACCCTCACACAAGTTCCCTGTTACCCTAACACTAACCCTCTCTGTCACCCTCACACAAGTTCCCTGTTACCCTAACACTAACCCTCCCTGCCACCCTCACACATGTTCCCTGTTACCCTAACACTGACCATCCCTGTCACCCTCACACATATGTTCCCTGTTACCCTAACACTAACCCTCCCTGTAACCCTCACACTAACCTTCCCTGTTACACTAACACTAACCTTCCCTATAACCGCCAAGTATATGCTCCCTGTTGCCCTAAGACTAACACTCCCTGCAACCCTCACACTTATGTTTCCTGTAACCCTCACACTTATGTTCCTGTTACCCTCACACTTATGTTCCCTGCCGCCTTAACACTAACCCTCCATGTAACCGTCACACTAATAATGTTCCCTGTAACCCTCACACTAATGTTCCCTGTAACCCTCACACTTATGTTCCCTGCCACCTTAACACTAACACTCCCTGCAACCCTCACACTAATGTTCCCTGTAACCCTAACACAAACCTTCCCTATAACCGCCAAATGTATTTTCCCTGTTGCCCTAAGACTAACCCTCCCTGTAACCCTCACACTTATGATCCCATCCACCTTAACATTAACCCTCCCTGTAACCCTCACACTAATGTTCCCTGTAACCCTCACACCAATGTTCCCTGTAACCCTCCCACTAATTTTCCCTGTAACCCTCACACTTATGTACTCTGTTACCCTAACACAAACCCTCCCTGCAGTGGCGTAACAATCGCCATAGCGACCCAGGCCGCCGCTACGGGGCCCGGGCACAGGGGGGCCTGGCCAGGGCATCCCTCTGATGCCATGCGGGCCACCTGGGTCGCTATGTCATATCAGGGTGCTGGCTGTCAAGAGGAATGCGCCGCTGTTAGATCACTGACAACCTGTCAGTGATGTGTGCAGCGGCGCGTTCTTCCTCACTACCGCCGCTGAGCTGTGTCAGTGACAGCCAGCAGCATCTGCAGAAGAGACTGGACTCGGCGTTCGCAGTGAAGGAGGAGGCGGGGCCAAGCACGGCGACCTAAGAGGAGGAGGGGCCAGTGATGTAAGAGGAGGCGGGGCCCATCGATGAGGAGAAGACAGGGCCCGATGATGAAAGAGGAGGCGGGGCACGGGGATGGAAGAGGAGGTGGGGCCCGGCGACCACGGAGGCGGACCGCGCTGACAGGTAAGAGGTGTGCAGCCCACCTGAGACCCTGCAGAGCCCTGCAGGATCACTCTCAGGTGGGCTGTTTGGTATATCAGGTGGGCCCTGCAAGGGGCATAACTAGAAATCACAGGGCCACATACAAAATTTTGCTATGGGGCCCTGTGATTTCTAGTTACGCCCCTGCCTCCCTGTAACCCTCACACTTATGTTCCCTGGCACCCTTACACCAACTTTCTCTGGAACCCTTAAAGGAGAACTATGAGATGAGTGATTTCCACTCACCTCATAGTTCTTCTGAAACTTGAACATTTTCTTTCCTTGAAACTTTAACCCTTTCTGTAATCCATGTACTAGCCAGTTAGTTACCCAGACAGTTAACCTTTGCAGGGAGAGGGAAGTCCAACTGCAAAAGGAGTTTTTTTCCTCAGAGATACAAGAAAAAGTATTTATCTTCTTATATTACAGGGCAGTCTTAGGATGATTTGTTGTAGTTAGCAATAGGGTAGCTTTATTACTAAGCTAACACTATATCTGCCTGTAACCCTAACAATATCTCTCCCTATAACCCTTACACTATCTCTCCCTGTAACCCTAACACTATCTCTCCCTGTGACCGTAACACTATCCTTCCCTGTAACCCTAACACTAACCCTCCCTGTAACCCTAACACTGGCCCCTCCCTGTAACTCTCTCCCTGAAACCTCTACACTATTCATGGCCGTTTTAGATATAAAAAGTGTGTCAGTGGTGACAACAGCCTTGGATATCTGTCCAGCTGGGACCTGTAGTCCTTCTGCAACAGTGCTGGCCTCGTGTCGGTCTCACTCAGCAATTAACATTCACTTACCACACCTGACTGAACAAGTATGCCAGCAGTGAAGGTCCAGGTGACTGGATACGGCAATAAATAGCTATTACAACATGGAATAATAATCTCTGTATACACGGAGGCTGTAGGGCCGTGTCCCATGTAATGCTCACTGCAGGAATTCTTACTCAGAGCATTGTTATTTCAAGTCTTTGAAGAACCTGTAAGTACTTGTAATCAGTAGACAGATTAGTCATTGTTATTGTACTCAGCGCCGCACAATTGGCTGGAGCGATGTGCATTTCCTTTATACAGCGGAGGACTCCCAGTTTCCTTGGCACAATGGCTGCCACAGTTAGATTTGATTGGTGAATCCAGCGGAAGCAGGAGAGGCAGCTGCCTGGGCTACTAGGGGGCCTATCCCTAGAAGGGGGAAATAAATAATATCACCTTTTATTTATTGTTAAAATGCATCTAAACCCTAAAAACAAAACTGTAATCTATTGCAGCGTACTGGTCCATAGACGTGGCGGTTGCATTAGTTTTCTTTTTTCAAGCTTTTCCCCCCCTTTATTATGACCTGTAATCCTGCCAGTAACCCGCTTCTTGTCCCAGGGTGACAACGCTCACTCATTCTACTATATCAGCACAATAAAAATGCAGCTTCTGGATTTGCCTATCACTTTAACACTTTTCACTTACATTATTGTGACAGCAAAATAATAAAACGGTAAAGGCACAATGGCTATTGTACTATTACATAAACAGTGCTGGACCTGACCTAATAGATATATGAAGCAATGGACAGGATTTGTTTCTTCCAATTTGGGATGAACCCACGTGTAGTTTCTAAGGAACACTCTTTGGGATGAACCCATGTGTAGTGTTCAAGGAACTTTCGTTGGGATATCTGTAAAAAAATAAGTCAAGGAAACTGGACATGCTGTATTTTTCTTAAAGACGTTTCACTGGTCATCCAACCAGCTTTCTTAATTCACTGCATGACCAGTGAAACGTCTTCAAGAAAAATACAGCAAGTCCAGTTGCCTTGACTTATTTTTTTACAGATATGGATGAATGAGAATCTTCACAGACATACTCTTTGTGATGAATCCACGTGTAGTGTATAAGGAATTTTCTTTGAGATTAACCCACGTGTAGTCTGTAAGGAACTTTCTTTGGGATGAGCCCACTTGTAGTCTGTAAGGAACCTCCTTTGGGATGAGCCAGGGGCGTAACTAGAAATCACAGGGCCCCATGGCAAAATTTTGTATGGGGCCCTGTGATTTCTAGTTACGCCCACCTGATAACCCAAACAGCCCACCTAAGGGTGACCCTGCAGAGCCCACCATTGACTCTCTATGGTAGGCTCTGCAGGGTCTCAGGCGGGCGGTCAAGCCTTCTTACCTGTCAGCCCTGATCCTCTGTCCGCCTCCTTCTTCTCCACGATCGACTCCTCCGTCACTTGGCCCCGCCTCCTCGATCGCCGGGCCCCGCCCCCTTGATCGCCGGGCCCCACCTCCTCGATCACTGCCGATGACGGGCCCAGCCACCTCCTGCGAAGCTGCTGGTTGTCACCAACTCAGCAGCGGCTGTGAGAAGGAACGGAGCGTTCCTCCTCACAGCCGCCAGTGACAGCCAGCAGCTGGCTGTTCGAGCAAGATGCCATAGCGACCCAGGTGGCCCGCATGGCATCAGGGAGATGTCCTGGCCGTGCCCCCGCCGTGCCTCGGGCCCCATAGCGGCCACCTGGGTCGCTATGGTGATTGTTACGCCACTGGGATGAGCCCATGTGTAGTCTGTAAGAAACTTTCTTTGGGATGAACTCATGTGTAGTGTGTAAGGGATTTTCTTTGGAAAGAACTAGGGATGCCCCAATACTGATACTAGTACTTGTGAAAATGCCTCGATACATAACGCAGATGTCGGCGCTTTACATTTTCAAACAACCTCAGCCGCATGAAGTCCCATGCTTGCTGGACACCTCATGCAGCCTGCTGGAGACCTTGTGATA